CACACACACACACACACACACACACACACACACACCCGTGGTCAGACACAGGTTGATTTACACCACTGGCCAAAACTTTTGGGCCGAAGTGGAAAAAATGCAGTGAAGAGAGAAAAGTTTGACAAAAACCACAAGTAACAGTTCCATCCTCCACCACCAGGCTGCGCTAGCATCTGGATTAAATCCTCAAAGGCCTGTCATTGGTCGAGGGCCGGTCCATCAGAGCCATGTATTGAAACAACCATTCACACCATATTCACACCTAAGAGTAAGTTAGTGTGAACAACGAAGCTAACAGAAGCTAACAGAAGCTAACAGAAGCTAACAGAGCTGAGTTGAAGAGAATAGAATTATTTTATAGGAACTTTTTTCACCAACATTCTCCCCTGTTGACATGATTGTAAAACAGTATATCCACTAGGGGGCAGTGATTCTTCTACCCAGTTCCTCCACTTGGGTTCTGGACCCAGGATTTGATTTTTAGGCCCATTATCTGGACCGTAAACCTGTGTTTGGCCCAGAGCAGCAGTGACACAACGACGACACCAATCATCCACACGAGGCTGTAGAGAGCACGGTGACGTGAGGCTGATCGGTACTGGGTTCCTGTGACTCATCGTCTCCCAGTGTGAAGTCCGTCTCCCAGGCAACATTCCGGATGTTTCTGGTGTTTTTTTCAGTGTAACTGGTAGCAGGCGGCGGCGGCGGCGGAGGAGACGCGGTCGACTCCTCCACCGTCATCCAGACAAAGAGTTTGTGGCAGGTGATGGTCAAATCTCCAAATCAGCCTGACAGCGTCTGAGGACCTGTCACACCGTCTCACACTGTTCCACTGAGCTGACGCCGGGAGAGTAATGTACACCCTCGCCGTCCCTCCCTCGCCTGGCAGAACCGATCTCCTCCGTGAGTCTCAACCCGGAACGTTGGAACCCTGAACAGCTGTGGAGCAGGAGGTGCATCAAAGGGAGCGGAGGGTTCAAATCCTGGAGCACATTAACTGGAAAGGAA